TTCCATTACCTTGCAAACGACACTTGTCAAACTGACAGGGCGATAGTTGCCCGGGCAGCTTTTGTCACCTTTTTTGAACAATGGTGTCACTTGAGCTTCTTTCCAGTCAGCTGGCAACATTCCTTTGTTCAAAGTTTTTCGAAAAAGTGACGTCATAGGGCCGGCTAGGACAGTTGCTAACTCTTTGAGTAATCTGGGGTGGAAGCCGTCTGGTCCACATGACTTGTTTGGATTTGCAGCGATAAGGTGCTTGAGAACCTCTTCTTCTTGTATTTCAAAGTTTGTTAATTTAGAGCCGGCTGGGCGCTCCTTGGCAATTTATTGCCAGAGACAGAGAGCAGGGACAGGGTGCTGAATTCCTGTGTAACTTGTGGCCATCAGTTTATTCAGCTGTTATCTTGTATTCCAATTATAAAAACATCTTTACATGTTCAATTATGATCAGCTCCTTTAATTGAACTCAAACAATTAATAAGAAAGCAATTATGTAATTGGATTAAATTCAAACTAGGTATATACATGTGTGAAATATAGCTGTGCAATCATATTTTTTTTTGCACCTTTTATACAATCAGTATCTTCTTGGCTCATTCTTGAGTCATCATAGCATGTGTTTTCTTGTACGCAGCTCAAGGTAGAGCATTCTGTACCCTGATACATTTTTGCAATGCTATTCACTCCATGCTTCATGAAAGCAATTTTTTTTCCCTAAATAATGAAAACTGAGGAAAATATTTTTCTTAAAATGATAAAATGTGTACCATCTAATGCATTAGATTCTAGTGATATGTGATTATTATGCCTAATAATTATGATGTTCTTTGTGTGCCATGAGTGAGTGCAGATTGACTGTGCCTGCTGCCCCTACAGTGGTGGAGCTATGTGGCTATGTGGAAGAGTCTCTAAATAAGTCTAAAACTCCAGTATCATCAGACAAGAAGAAAAACCTCTTCAGTTAAAAGCTTGATAGTGTGAAATTACTCCACACAAAATATGTCAGCTTTCCAACAAGCATTTAAAGATCCTATTGTCAAGAAACTTGGAAAAGTTGTTGCCATAGGAGGATTTCTAACTATTGGATTTGGGCTTTACGTAGAAAGTAAAATACGCTCTAGTTTCACCAAAGCACAATATTTTCAGCGTTCATTGGAAATTATACATTCAAATAAAAGTAAGTATAAATGACTTTAAAAATGCTATAAATAACCTCCCTTAAAGTAATGCCATCAATGATGTATGAATTGCCATTTTGCAGATGGACTTAATTTTTGTGCTTGTCAATAACGACTATATTATTGTGGTCAAAAATACAATTTGTAGTGTTTTTCTATCACATGAAAATTGCAAAGCTATTTAGATCTTACTAGAACCTTCTTGTTCATTTCATTTTCTATTGGAGGCTATGAACCTATGTACTGTGGTAACATGACTGTCATTGATGTTGGTAATTTAGTTGAACAAAGGAATATTTTTGCTTGTACAACTATTTTATTTACCTAGAAAAATCTTCCTTGAAGTTCATTTCTCTTCTAGTTTTCAAATGTTAGAACATAAACGATTGGACTGTATGGGAATAGCAGTGAAATTATATTTTATAACTCATATTTTGTCATATGGTATTATCTCAAATTCTTTGCCATCTAAAGAGGAAATTTAGGTGTGTCCATTTCCCCCAGGGTGGTATTTGAATGAGAAAATGTATACATATATATCTACAAAAAGGTGCAAAAAATTTACTAGATGAAGCTATCTGGAACTGGAAATCTGCATTATAACTGAGTAGTAGGTAGTGGTTTTTGTTTGTGCTAGTGGCATAAATAGTACTCAACATTTTTCAATGCAAATCTTTGGGGAAAATGAATTGTCATGTTAATACCAAACAAAATATATTCCAAGTTTGTGTATCATCAATAGAAAGTTTGTAGCCAATTCTGTTTTCATATACTACCTATATGCATACCTATGTATTTAAATGATATAGGTACTGCCTATGTCTATTTTATTGGATAATGGCAAGCCAGTGGCAAATAAGGTATCATTGATCTTAGGCTATTCTACTAGCATTAAAAATATTTAAATATCTATACCATATTTGCAAATTTTGAAGTTATAAAATAAAGCAACCGAACCAAAAACCTAAAGAAAACTTAGCTATTACAGTACTTAGCTGAAGAAACAATAAGAATGTTTTACAAATTATTTTCCTGTTCATTAATACATTTCCTGGAGAGAATAATATTTAAAACGCTTAGTTTAAGTATAGATACCTATATCCATATTTTTTTTCAAATTTCAGATCTGATAACCTATTTGGGGCCACCAATTGGAATTGGCAAAATAGACCTGGGTCACAAAGACACCTGGATTACTGCAACCAAAGCTAACCTCCAGGTTTGTTACTACTACATATAGGTATAATTACTGGCCTTGTAAGTCAAATGTTATTTTTGTTTATGATAATATTTTATAGAATTTGTTGTGCAAATGAATTTGGTATCTGAGGTGTAAGTAAATTTGATTTACAAATTAGTTTGTAATATGAATTTATTATATCACTTTTGATTTTAACAATTGTATCATTTCTAGGTGCCAGTTAAAGGCCAAAACCATTCTGGGAATTTTTATGTTTGGGCATCGCGTCGCTCAGCCACTTCTGAATGGACTGTTGATAGACTAGAGATGTCCATTGATGACCAGCCTGGCAAGAGAATTATTGTCCATCAGGCAGCAGCTAATGAAGGAGAATCTACTTCAACGTGTCAAGATTTGCAAGAGTCAAGTTCTTAACATTTATTTTTACATTCAGGTTAAATTATTTTTTCTCATTGAACTTTCATATGTATCTTAGTTCATCTAAAGGGAGCTTCATCAACCACAATGTCTGAAGAGCAGTGCAGCCAGAAACAAATTGGTGTTCCTCAGATTTTGGAAAAGAGTAACACATGTGAAGAAAAAGACAAGGAAATAATTTGCAGTGAAGATGTTCCTCAAAGCTTGAGTCATAGTGAAATGAAGGAAGTATTCAGAAAAGCGTTATCAAAGCTGTTTAACTCGGATCCTATATTGAATGATCTTCACCCAGATACTACTTTTCAAGAGGTGTGTACATCTATTTAACATTTTCAATGCCCACATCAATTTTCGTAGAAATGTTCATTTGTAATAGCATGAACTTCTAGCATTAGCTTTGAGTCTGGAGTTTTATTTTTGCACTTAAATCGGTGATTGACCTACAGGTGTCAGGAATGCTGGAAGTGGAGGCAGGCAGGAGCATGATGCTCGAGGTAGAACGCGACGATGGACGCATGTATCGTCTGCGCGTTCCTCGCGATGCCAAAGTGCATCAACTCAAAGCTGCCCTACGCACACACGTCACTCAAATGCTTGTAAGCAGGTGGTGCTTCAGGTCAATTTCACTAGATTGTCAAAACAATTTTTTCTATAACTAGTGTACCGCTCATACATGATAAACCCATTACCATTACTTAAATGTTTATCTTGTTCACAGCACCGAGAAGGTAGTCGTCGATGCGTGAGTTGGCGCAGCGTGTGGCGCAGACATTGGCTAGTGCACGCCGCGACGGGCACGAAGCTTGACGATCACAACGCTAGTCTTGCCGGTCTTGGTATCCGGCATAAAGACAAGATCGTCTTTGTCAAGAGGAACAATAGAAGCGTCTGAAAATTCAGCCTAGTGGTTATTATCTTCAAGTTAATCGCGTGAATTCAATTTAGTTGTAAATAGGCATCATTTAATTTGTATTCTGTAGCTGCAAAGAAACTTTATGAAGAATGTTTTTTAATGAACTGGGAAATCATTTTCAAGAATCATTAAAATAATATTGAAAAAAAGGTAATGGACGCTAAGTAAATCTTTAATATTTAGCGCAACTCTTGAATATATTGGTCGAGAAGTATCTCCAGATTGATTGAAGTGTGAAGTGTAAAATAGTTCGTCTTGTACAATTTTATTAAAAAACGTACATGGTTGTTTTGAAAGAGCCCTGAGTATCTTTGAACCGACAGAAATAAACATGTTTGTTTCTCGTGGCAGAGTCACGTTTCCTAGTCTCGATCTCGACAATATTAAATGTCAAGGTAAGTGACACGACCCAACTCGTCAACTGCAATAAATCAAAATCAGATACTAGACGAAAATCGTCTCAAATTTCGGCATTTCTTATTTACCTACAGCATGAAATATGCAGAATAATTAGTTTACATGGTAGTAGTTTCCAGTGGTTAGTGTTAAGACAAAGCACGGTGATTTCGGCATTTACTCCTGAAATTATTGGTTTGCGTGGCAGTTGATCTCATACTGATAACAGTATCACAGATTGTTCATTACTAATTAACACCTTGGCTACAAAATGCTCCGACAGTTAGTCAATTCAACGATTCAAATTAACGAGGTTAGGAAATAAATAACACCTCTACAGTACCGAATAGCCCGCATAATTCTTCTAATCAAAACTAAAGCATCTGGATTTTACCATACCTACACAGCATTAATAGGCTTACAAGTGATAAGCATGTATTTGCTTCATATTCGTCACAAAAGCAAGTCCAATTACGCTTAGTAAGATTTGATCCGACAAGGAGTCTTTAATCTTGAATTTCTGGAGATTCACTGAAGGTGATAAACTGCTTTGCACGACAAGGAAATATGACAATCAGTTATAATATGCTCGTACAGGTTCACTGACTAAAAATCACAAAACTAAATTTTAAGTTCTTAATAAAATCTTGACACGAACACACTATGTATGAACATCGATTATTCGGATGACCGCATTGATATTGCACAGAAATTCCAAGAAACCTGCCAGTAGGATTATGGTAAATTAACCGAAGGTTGCTGTAGTTTACTTTTTACGAGGCTGTACTTGATTATCGCGGGTCATAATAAATTCATGTTTTGCAGTTGTTCACACGCATTACCGTCAAACGTTGTTCACACTTAAAGACAATATTTAAGAAATACAAATAAATTACCTTAAGGGTAATAAGATGAACTTGGCAAAAACTAATCGCTAATGGAATGTAGCAATATTCAATAGATTTTGTCTTCATATCCAACGCGGTGATTAACGACGCAGGATGAAAACAGGAAGACGTGTAACGTCCCATTGAAATGGGGTACATGAATCTACGGCAGTGTTCTCAAATGAAATAAGCTACAAGACTATAGTGTCATGCACGTTGCATGCCGTCATCAAAGTACTTTACGTAACATATATGTTTTGCTGAAGCAATAGTCTTCTAGCTAGAAAGGCATGCTGGTTGACTGAATTAGGCTACCTTGGTTTCAAAAATCATCTGGAAGCGAGCAGGGTGAGAGCGCTAAGCATTCAACAGTCAAGTAACATCAATAAAATGTGTCGGCCGATCTAGAAATACTAACGAGAGAAAGAATTGACAAACAAAACAAGAAAAAGTTCTCATCAAGAGCCCTGAAACATGCAGCTATACAAGTTAAAATTCGTCAATAGTTTCATCAAATTGCAGTTAATTTAACAGAAAAACTAAGAATTTTGGTTATTTTTCTCCGGTCGATCAATGAGGCTATCATTTAACAAATAAAAATCTCTCGATGAGATTTAATCTAATGTAAAACGATCAACATATGTCAATTTTACGACAAAATACTTTCAAACTTTTAGACAAATGATTATTTATACCAATTATAAAATCTAATGCTACATTGCTTGTCATAACAGCCAAAACATCATTCCCAAAATTACAGGATGACTAGTAAGCTACTGGATAGAAACAACGAGAGATTTACGTTCTAATACAATGAAAGAAAAGACTTCACCGTATTCACAATGATCCCTTTATATTTGCTATCAATGATATTGGTAAAGAATAATATATAAAGGCATTCATGCAAGTCTGGTCTTGTGGCATAATTTATAGGTCTTATCGACAGGAAATATTTTGGTGATGCAATGGAAGCTTAAAACGCATTGTTTCGTTTCGGTAAAGCAATAGCGCGAAAGAATTACTCTCTAAAATATTCACGAGGGTTAATAAATTTAATCGCGAATTTCTAGTAAAAGCAATGTGAGAAAATTTATGACATGAAATCAGCTAGAATCAAGTTATTCCTTATCGCAACAAGATACTCTTTAGAAAGATAAAGGATCTACTCGCAAAAAAGCTTTCACAGTCAGGAAAGAGGAAATATGCTAAATAGAAAGTGAAAAGGATGCAAATGCAGGAGAAAAACGTGAGCGCTGCATTTCCTTGCTGAGCAAAGTGAAGAAAAAAAGCTGAAACGCGTATATTTCATCCTTCTGGTATATAAATTACAAATACTTTTGCAAAACTGCTTTCATGATTTGGCCAACTAGGAATTTGTCAATTGGAAAACTTCCCATCATTCAGATCATCAAAGTTCACTCAATTCAGATCTTAACAGATAGCAAAATAGGACAGAACTTGCGGGCAAAGTTCTAATGGCGACAATCAAAAGAAATATTTACTAAAACTAAGATATGAGCAAATATATAAATGCATAAAACACTGATATGTGGCTAACTAGTATTGAAGTTTCTCCGAAATTTGCCTGGCAAAGACGGAGAGAGATTAAACGTCAACGGATCTCTGGAAACATTCACGTTCATTCCAGGATAAAATTCAAGCGATAGTTAAATAATGACTATAATGTTGGAGACGATAATTGCTACACCATAAACATATCATAATATTGCTTTAGAAGCCGAGACTCGAATCAATCAAGGAAGAAATCATCACGGCAGTGAGAAATATTAACTGCACGAGCAACAAATGGACCCGCTTGAAACATTAGTCCATCGTAACCTGAATCGATGTTAGCTTCTGCTGAACTAGTTGTCTTATTTTCATCGCTTCTACATTACCAAATAACCAGTTCGGCGGTCGGGCATAACTTGTAAGATTTTATGCTAAGCAGGAGTTAATTATAATAAAAAATACTCGTATTACGACAGACAAATCGGGTAGCTTTCTCGTTTGTGGCAGACGAGCAGGGCAGTGGCAGACAGTTGAAAGCGCAATGCCCAAACTTGGGCAGAATCTCTGCAATAATTGGACTTTTCTATGCAAAATAATTTGAAAATTCATATCAACGTAGTCATTAGTGGATTACTACACGAACATCGAACTTGAGTGATCGTGTTCAATAGGGGGTACTAGTTTTCAGGCCATGTTAATGTTATGGCAGAAAACTATGGCATGGTTTGTCCACATTGTTGCCTTTGTTTTGACGGGTACACTGCCAGACTTGTTACCCAATTGAAAAACTAACCGTAACACTGTAGAGCGGAGAAAATTTGTAATTTAATTTTATACCAGCGAAAATCTTTCATTACCATAGAAAAAGAGGGGAAAGTTCATGACGTGAATAATTACAACGAGACCGACGACGACTTCCAAATGAATCGTGATGAATTTACAGGTGGCTCAGAAGACGAAACTTCCAAGCCCACTGACAATATAATTATAATAATAATTACAAATGTTTTTAACCGTGATAAAAGGAATTATTAAAGGTTAGAACAGTCTATGGTTGAGCAGCAAGTCGCTCCCTGATGTGGCCGCGTATTCTCGCGTATTTGTCGAGTATCTGGGAGCGGTAGTCTTCTTCCTCACGGGCAAGGATGCGCAGGAAATTGCTCAGCTCTGTTAGGCTGAACGCGTCCCACTGAAATAAGGAGAGTTATCAAGAAACCAATCATTTTCATAAATAGGTTTACCGGATTAGACTGAACGCGTCCCACAGAAATAAGAAGAGTTATCAAGAAACCAATCATTTTCATAAATAAGTTTACCGGATCAGACTGAACGCGTCCCACTGAAATAAGGAGAGCAATCAAGAAACCAATCATTTTCATAAATAAGTTTACCGGATCAGACTGAACGCGTCCCACAGAAATAAGGAGAGCAATCAAGAAACCAATCATTTTCATAAATAAGTTTACCGGATCAGACTGAACGCGTCCCACAGAAATAAGGAGAGTAATCGAGAAACCAATCATTTTCATAAATAAGTTTACCGGATCAAACAGAACGCGTCCTACACAAATAAGGTAGGTAAAATGGATAATTTTCATAAATAAGTTTACCGGATCAGACAGAACGCGTCCCACACAAATAAGGTAGGTTAAATGGATAATTTTCATAAATAAGTTTATCGGATCAGACTGAACGCATCGCACTGAAAGAAGGTAGGTAATTATATAATAAATCAACTAAAATTAAGAATCAGATTCGTTGTACAAATCTATTCACCGTATACAACTGAATTTTTCATTCAGTATTGTTTTAAAAAAAACTTTGGAAACAATGAATGAATTCAATCACAATACGAAAATAAAATTACAAAACTGTAACATTTGCTTTGCTAAAATATTATTAAAAATCTTTGTTCATTTAAAGAAAACATACGGGTTGTGGTCATTTATGCAAGAATTCGTTGTGGTACAAGGGAATTGCAATAGGTAATTAAAATAACGTGAATTAATCGCTAGGTTATACCACACAGCATCGGGTGCTAATACTTAGCAAATCGAGAAAATTTTGAATTAGCGTTATTGGAAAGATGAAGATCGGCAGAAGTTTCATAGTGGAGATTGGCGTCTGTTTATAATTGGTGATTGGCATTAGTTTAAAGGGAGTGGTTGGCATCAGCTGAAAGTTAGTTGGTGATCGGTCTCAGCCAACTCACACTCACACCGGCAAGGGGACCAGAAATTATGCGTCATAGAATAACTACTCAACGCTACAGATCAAACTCACGGTGTACCACACAAGATAACACAAATACAACAACAAGACAGCACAAAGCAATAACAATACTGCACAACATAACAAATACAAAAACAATATTACACATTTTAACACAAATACAAGAGCAATACTACACAATTTAGCACAAATGCAAGAGCAATACTACACAATTTAACACACAAATTCAAGAGCAATACCACACAATTTACCAGAATTAAAAGATCAATACGCCCCAACTGAATACAAACATAAGACCAGGCAGCAGCAATACCTGAATATCAGCGGTATCATTCTCCTGCAGAACGATCCTGTGCGCCGTGAGACCCTCAGCGGACCACTGCATGGCCAGCACCAGCGGGCACTCCGCGTCACTGATGCGTCGCAACGTCCCTGCGCAGAAAAAACTGTTTAGCTTCAATAATAACTCTTATTAATGTAATAATTAGAAATAATATGAAGGAAATTACAATATGTATTCACAGGGTTTGTCTAAAACGCGATAGTTATACAGAGTTATTCGTAGTTATTCTTCTAGAACGCGACCCTACAAGAACAGTGCAGCTTCAGTAATAACTCTGATTAATGTAATAATTAGAAACAATACGAAGGAAATTATAATATATCTGTTCAGCGGGTATGTCAAAATCTTGATAGTTATACAGAGTTATTCGTAGTTATTCTTCTAGAACGTGACCCTAAAAGAACAGTACAGCTTCAGTAATAACTATTATTAATGTAATAATTTGAAACATTACGAAGGAAATTATAATATGTGTTCAGGGGGTCTATCTAAAACTTGATAGCTATACAGAGGAATTGTAGTTATTCTTCTAGAACGTGACTTGTTAAAATAATATTGAATAGGTCATCCAAATCTGCTCTCAAATGTATAAACTCGGTTGAACTTATGATGAGAAAAATACGAAGAAAGATTAATTGGAAACATAATGGCAGGCACATAGTTTTTTTGGGAAGAAAAAAGTCACTCCTGGTCGTCAGGATTAACGTCCGTCATCGATTTCAACTTGTCCTGCAGATGTGGTGTATGTAAATAAGAATAAAAAATCATAATTATTATTCATAATTACCGTTGGTTGCATCGCTTTCGAAGGATCGCTCGTAAAGAGCAAACTTCTGCGGGTTGTCCACTACCTTGAATTTTCGAAGCAGCGCTACGATTACTTCGCGTGTGGTTGTCTTACTGCAAAAATAATAAAAAAAAAATCGATTACATTTTTGGGATTCAGGAGCGGATAAAATGCTATCAACTCTTAAAAAATAATCTTGAAGATGAAAGGAAGCGGTACCTAAGAATTTGCCTTTTTTGACAACGATCGTAGCACCAGAAACTGTTTGACAAATCGAATGGAACTGCTTCTACAAAATGGATTGAATCTTAACGAGAGCAGGATAAAGGTAAGTTCTTATTTCATCAGAGCACACGAATTGACCAAGAGAAGCAGAGACCAAGCTTCCAATCAAATGACGTTGAAAAAATGGTAATTACTAGTTGATTTCGTTGAAAATACGTCGATTACAAGTTGATTTCGTTTAAAGCAACGTTGATTAGGAATTGATTTCGTTTTGCAAAAGTTGATTACGAATTGATTTCGTTGAGAAAACGTTGTACTACGAGTTGATTTAGTTAAAAAAACGCTGATTACAAATTGATTTCGTTTAAGCAACGTTGATTACTAATTAATTTCGTTCAATCAAACGTTGATTTAGTTAAAAAACGTCGATTACGAATTGATTTCGTTTCAGCAACGTTTAATCAACGTCATTTCAACGTTTAGATGTCCAGTGGGAAAGCAGTACCTTGTGATGTGTATTGCTTTGACAGCATTGCGCGGCATGTAGAAGGATGTGAGCGTCTTGTCGAGCGTGCGGTCTTCCTTGAGGATGTCGTATATGGAGGGCGGCCGCGTGCCCGCCACGATGTTGATGGGGCGACTTAAATTGAGATGCACGCGCAGGCAACCGCGGTAGCTGCCGTCATCTTCCTGTGGTATCCCAAATGGTCAACTTAGCGAGTGTAGAATTCGAGTAGCAGTGAATTGACAAGCAAATGATTATTACAAAAACAAACTCTTAACGCGCAGGCAACCGCGGTAGCTGCCGTCATCTTCCTGTGGCATCGCGAATGATCAACTTAGCAAGTGTAGAATTCGAGTAGCAGTGAATTGACAAGCAAATGATTATTACAATAACAAACTCTTAACGCGCAGGCAACCGCGGTAGCTACCGTCATCTTCCTGTGGTATCGCGAATGGTCAAATTAGCGAGTGTAGATGGAATAATTACAAACATTGAATTGTTTATGTGAAGTAAAAAGTAAAAAATACGCTGCATCACATAAATAGTCAACTTAGCAAGTCTAGATGGAGTTATTACAAACATTAAATTGTTTATATGAAGAAAAAATATGCGCATCAGATAAAACTCGATAGGAAATTCAATCGTACTCGACAGAACAAGAAGTAAATAAAATATAATTGACAGTCTATTGCAATTGAAAGACGTACGAGGCGCATATTTGGTTCAACTCGCAATCAAATACATGAATATTAAAATCAAATCGAAAGAATTATGAGTGAAATACACTCTACGTAACCAGAAGGATACTATACGTAGCACGAGACGTTTGCTCCTCGTAACTCGATAAGTAAAGTTAGGTGACTTGTTTATATCGAATAAACGAATTATATTGAATAACGAATTATATCGAGCACCTTTTCCAGCGACGTGATGATATCCTTGTCAGAATATCGCAGTGTAACGGACAGAGTGCTCTTCAGCGTGCAAACTTCCTTTGTTTCCGTCATGATTTCTTCAAGAATATTTAAACGAATCCAAGTGAAAAATGTCGATCACTCATACGATGTCCAAGTTCACAAACGGAAAAATTTATTTTAGCAACGAACGTTTGTCTTGGTTCAATTATTTTCATAAAATTTTTTTGGAAGATGATATAGGAGAAAAAGAATTGACGTAGCCAAAATTATGAGAGAATATTGGTCACCAATCAAGCAAAAACTGCACATGAAATAAACAGTACCCTTGATTACACAGTTACTTATCTCTTATCACCTTCGCATGTCTACTCGCACAGATTTTTTAACAAGAAAGCAAGTCAAGATTCTAATTAATGCATGTGACTATCTCGTAAAATCAGGCATGAAAAAGTATAATTTGACGAGGCATGCTAAGAAATTCTTCATCAGGAATTGCGTAATTATTTCGCCACAAAAAAGGTATCTTATTTTATATGCAGAACATTGATGGTTAACGTACGACGGCCTCCAGAGCCCAAGTCACACTGCAGGAAAGCAGCGAGCGACAAATAAGAACCCACGAAAGGATGTAAACTACAAACGCGATAACACAATCGCTCTACTATCCTTCAAAAATAAGCGATGGCAACGCATGTGCAAAAGTAAACATTTCCTCTAATGCTAATGGCAATGATATATTCAATTAAAAATACTCTAAAACATTCATAACTGTTATTGTTTTAATAATGCTAATGGCAATGATATATTCAATTAAAAAGACTCTAAAACATTCATAACTGTTATTGTTTTAATAATGCTAATGGCAATGATATATTCAATTAAAAAGACTCTAAAACATTCATAACTATTATCGTTTTAAGGTTCTCAATAACGGAAAGTAAATAAACCATAAATAATTCATATTTAGGCCATCAAAAGAACCAAGGTCGAATTAAAGATATCTTCGTCGAAGGAATTAAGTGATGCCATAAACGCTCTTGTTTAGGACAGAAATTCTCAGATGGTAATTGAGACGAGAAGGAAGGAATTAAGTGATGCCATAAACGCTCTTGTTTACGACAGAAATTCTCAGATGGTAATTGAGACGAGAAGGAAGGAATTAAGTGATGCCATAAACGCTCTTGTTTACGACAGAGATTCTCGCGAGGGTAGTTGAGACGAGGAGGAGGAGAGGGTCTCAGGGACCACAGGTGAGGGTAACATTAAAGAAGACGCTTAGCGGCAAAACGCGCGGCAAGCCATCAATTTTTCATTGGAGGAATAATTCAATTCGTTCCTATCCTGCCGGCGACGCTTGAGATTGACAAAAAATTACATTATGTGCTGCTTATTTTGCCAGCACGAAATGCCATACTTAAATGCTATGAATGAAATAGGATAATATAGGATAGTAGTAGGATATATATAGAAGGATATCACAACTCGAGCTTCGCACGCTTCTTGCAATTTAGGATTGAAAACGATGCTTAAGACTTGATGTTTTTAATCAGTGTAATAAATAATTTTGTCATCAAGTAGTTATGAGTGAAGAAATGTCCGTGTTTTTTGAGAGCAAATTAAATGCAACGTTGGACGGGTTAAACAATAACACGAACTGTAACACGATAATTTTTACAGCAATTACATGTAGAAAAGTATAAATAATGTATATCAAATAAAACTTTTTATGTTTGAAATGGAATACATTACATCTTATCAAATTTATGATTGTTGAACGCGACATTTTGAGGCAAATTTCAAATGAAATAATATAGGATTTATGCCGCTTAGGTCATTACTCTACATGCAATTAAAACGAACTTAGGATAATTGAATACGACATTCTAAGGATAATATTAAGTGAAAAATAGCAAGAAGATGCAATGAATACCGACCTTGCTGAGCTGCAGGCCCTGGGCAGCAGCGCTGTCCAGTAACCAGCTCTCGAGGTGCGCCGGAGCTTCGCCCTCCACACACAGCCCTTGTATGGCATGCCGCAGTGACGCGCTCTGTGTGAAACACAGCAAACACACTTCATATTGACGAAATACAACACACAGCCCCACAGCTCCAACTTACAGCCCATGTATGGCAGGCCGCACTATCCCACTCTGTGTGGAACACAGATAACACAAGTATTGCAGCATAGCAATAATGTAGGCGAGAAACGCTATAAGAAAAATTCATTCAAATTTATTATGCCTCTAAGACATTCAATGAACGAACATTGAGAGCAAAAAGAATTGATTTCCGAAGCATTCATGGCTATGCCATCAAATCAATAGGAAGACGCATCAAAGCCATGAGACTATGAGTCCGAGTGTCATCAAAGCCATAAACCGATACATCAATGAAAGCCATGAGCCGTAATGTAATCACCGCCATAAATCGATACATCAATCAAAGCCATGAGCCGTAATGTAATCACCGCCATAAATCGATACATCAATCAAAGCCATGAGCTGGAATGTCATCAACGCCATAAACAGATACATCAATCAAAGCCATTAGCCAGAATGTCATCAACGCCATAAACAGATACATCAATCAAATCCATGATCGAGCCGGAATGTCATCAACGCCATAAACAGACACATCAATCAAAGCCTTGAGCCTGAATGTCATCAACGCCATAAACAGACACATCAATCAAAGCCATGAGCCGGAATGTCAGAATCAATTAAATCACACATCAATCAACGCCATGAACCGGAATGTCATCAATGCCATAAACAGACACATCAATCAAAGCCTTGAGCCGGAATGTCATCAGCGCATAAAACATCAATCAAAGCCTTGAACTGGAATATCATCAACGCCATAAACAGGTGTCTAAGCTACTAACAGGTACTCACATCAAAAGAAGTGCCGTTGACGAGATCTTTCTCTTGCTGCTCAGCCTCGTGTTTCTCTTTTTCCACCACAGGCGCCGTCATGCTGCCGTGCCCTGATGATCGTTCATCATTACACAGCATTAAATGCTGCTGTAATTCCAGCGTGCTGAGCCCATCATTGATGGTCATGCTGCCTCGTGTCAGCGGATGATCGTTGCGCAGCGTCGCGTAGTCAGACGAATCATCTTCGTCGGACTCGCAACCGTCCGGTTTAGCACGCATATCCGAGTTTAAGTCGTTTGATAGCTGCCTGATTTGGGTAGCCTGATTTACAACGGGTTCAATGTCGGGAATTTGGTCCGGTGGAGCTACCGTGTTTGTTTCTGCTGTTTGCGCTGACTCTAAAGTTTGATTGAGTGCTGATTTAGATGTTTGAATATTCGCCGAGGTTGTTTGAGCTGTGGAGGGGGTAACGGGGTAAGAAATGTCGGAGGTTTCGTCTGTAGCATCAGGTTCAGGAGTGTGACGAGCTCGGCAGTCGATGGCCACGAGAGGACGACACTGCTCGTGACATGTGTACCCGCAGTCTAGAGGCAGAATAAGATACAGATAAGAGATTGGAAACGCAAGTATGGCCCAGTTTCTTATGATAGAACGAGCATCTAACTATCAAATACAAGATTGGGCAGAAGACGTTTTTCCTCGGGGAGGAGATTATTCAAGAAAATCCATTTACTGAGCGACATGACATATGATAGAACGAGTATAAACCTCAACATCAAGACCAAGATAGTGCGGTAAAAAATAAATTAAAATAATCACCAGACTGAATAATGAATCAGTTATCATACAAGTTATAATAAGCAAGATAATTTGCCGTTGAACTAACGGTCATGACCTCGCATGTCATATGACATGTAATGATTTTATAAGCGGTGTGGGAGGGAGGCGCGTTCGGATATTAATCAAGTGTGCAAGTAATTGAGTGATGCTGCCGCCCCCCTCCGCCCCAAAGCAAAGCTTCAAGCTTACTACGCCTGAGTGAAATAAAGGGAAACCATCGCAGTGAATTGCCCGTGAAATGAGACCCGCGAATGCCAGGTCTCGTCGACGAGAGAAAAGCCGCTGGCATTGCAGAAAAAGCGAAGAATATTCCGCTTTACTGAGGAGCAATTGGCTGGAATCGCGGACGACATCGTTCGGGCGGATCTATGGACGCGCGAGCGGAAGAAGACGCGTGCCATTAAATGGTAACCAAGATATTGGTGGAAAATGGAGCGACTAATTGCAAGAAAAAAATCCCTGAAACTTCATGATTGTTTTAATATTTATCGTTCAATTGTTTATGGGATAGATAATAATAAATGCGCAGTCAAATACAAATTCATTTCAGATTCACATACAACAATGTGTTCCTTGAATTAATTTCGCTCTGAAATTACTTTGTTTTTCACATGAAATGCGTAATCGTTTTCATGTCTCTTTTCAAACGAGTGTAATCTATAAACACCTACAATTAAGTATTGAAAAGTGCTACGTACATTGTGTAATCTTCACAATTATATTCATTCTAATACAGCTGTTAGAGTGAATATAATTGGGTGGCCCAGTGGTTACAGTTCAGAGTACCAAGATTGGCGCAGAGAGGCGCGGGTTCGATCTCAGCTCTGTGCGCCAGTTTCTGGTCAGAATCGGAAAGGAGGCCGGGCGGTTAAGCACAGAAAATTTGTAGCAGTGAGTTGTGAGTTCGAGACCGCAACAAGCTGTGGATGTTCTGCGATGTTAAGAATCGGCGACAGGCCTACGGCCCAATAAACGCTGAAACAGTTTTATTATTATTATTATTTATATAATATCCAAACGTGGGATCATCGCATTTATAAGTGCAACATGTACAAAGTATGACTTGTTCATTCAGAGTTCGTAGGTGACATTAACCTTGTGACATAAATTCAATCCTATAAAAAACTGTAAGTATTTTTAACGGTACATATTATTCATTTTAAATCTCGGCGCTACACAAATCGGAAGAGCAGATCTCAGCAATGCTGTGACGCATGGCAGCTGAGCTAGGTCTAGCTAGGCATTGCTTCTGTGACGTCATAGGAAAATCTACGCAAATTCACCCTCACGTTAAAAACTAAGACAGAGAAATTGCATAAGCGAACAAATATTATTTTCTCTACGCAACGAAATAAATACTTGAAATTCATGCGTAGACTCAGTAAACTCAAGAAAAAAAACGGGAAGAAGTAACAGTGCCGAACAAAAAAAGGAAATGAAAAGATTTTTACCAAGTCCAGATGGTAATTATGTCGTCCGGGAAAGTCTAAATTATTCTAAATTATACATGGAACACAAGATTCGAATAACAATTAGAAACTTTTAGAATTTGAATTAGGAACCGAGCCTCAAATATTTCCTCTTACGAAAAATCCTAGCTGAGTCTAGACTCTAGAGCGCCTGAAAACCAGCCTGCCATCCGCAGCGAGGAAACTATACATAATCAGTCTCTGAACATGCGATAATTGAAAAAAATATAACTCAGTACTCACTGCAGTGAGTGACAGAGAGCGCATTTTCTCGTCGACGAAAACTTGAGGTCACGGACAGACAGACAGACAGACGGACATGGCGAGCACAATAGTGCATTTTTTCCATATATGAGAAAATGCGCTAAAAATATTCCATAACAACCATTTTATGATACACAACACAAACCGTAACTGCACAAAAAACTGAGAGGAAACGTTCAATAACTGAAAGTAACTGTGATGAAGGGGATAAATGAGGGAGACACGAGAAAAAGCAATGAAACAGAATCAATAGACGTCGCAAAAACGGGCGCAACTGCAATCAATGGATGCGAGCACGCGAGCGCAGATCGATTCTCTACTACGTGAACCGAAGGACTCTTGCCGACCACACGAACATTCCCATGTTTCCCATAAAATGAACATTATTCATTGTAAATATATTATATCACTTAATACTAAAAGAATTTTCTATAGCTAGTTGGCTTAAAAACTATTAGAGCAAAAAAAAAAACACTTGATTAAAGAAAACGTTATTCGTCCCAAAGAATCACTGACATCAATTTCATTTTTCGAAATCTTAATCCCACTCAACGGGAGAACATTCAACAACTAAAGCCCTGGAGTCATTACATTAACATTTAAAACACCAAACAAGAAAATTAAGAGCAAAAACTAGCAGCATAAAATTTTTCAGGGGCAAGTATCAGATACTTTTGAAGCAAGTAGAGTCTCAAGCGCCTTATGCCTGCAGTTTTGTCCTGCAAGACCGCAATCTCGGCGCTGCACGCCCTTGACTTGCCTTGCACGGCCTATTCCCCGGTTTTCACTGGTTAAGCCTTGGTCTTCACGGCCCATGACCTGCTGCACGGCCCTTACCCTGCTCTGAACGGCCCGTACCCTGCACTGCATGGTCCATATCCTGCAATGAATGGCCCTTACCCTGCTATGAACGGCCCATGCCCGGCTGTGTACATTATACGGTTGTAATCACGGCGATGCACGCCCTTGACCTACCATGCATGGGCCATTCTCTGCTCTGCACAGCCCATACCCTTGCTCTTCACGGCCCTGCCTAGTTTTGCACAGCCCATACCTTGCCGTTCACGGACCTGCCTAGTTCTGCACAGCCCATACCTTGCCCTTCACGGCCCTGCCTAGTTCTGCACAGCCCATACCTTGCCCTTCACGGCCCACGCCCAGCTCTGCACGGTCCTAATCTCGGCGCTGCTGATAGGGCCTCGAGCTGAAGAGCTCTGCAATGCAGCTGCAGCCCACGCGTTTACGTGCCGAGGTCATCCAACCCTCGAAGCTCACTTGGGACTAAAATTAATGAAAGCCTTTGGAGGGAGAGAAGAAATTTCTAACTCAAATATATGTAACTAAAATGCTTTTCTTTCCGGAGAATGAAAAAGATTTGAGCAGTGAGCAGAAGCTACTGCTTCTGCTTTAGTAGCTACTGCTACTAAAGTGAGCAGAAGCTACTTTATAAGGAGCAGCAAACTCAGCTGTGAAATTTGAAGTTAGCCAATTCATAACCCAACTTAAAGCCCGTAAAAAAACCTCGACACGCACAATTTTCAATTTTCGTAGCTGAAAAATAGTAGAAATATTCAAGACATGTGAGAGATATAAAGCGAATTCTACGGTAACATAATAGGGTCAAAGCCCCGGGTTGGTAAAAACCTAGAAGGTGAAGGGTCAGCGGCCACATATAGAAGCAGCCCCCAAGCTCGGTAGCAGAGACGTCGAGGCGCCGGCAGCGGCAGCCCCAGGACCTGAGGAAGGCCGGGGTCACCTCATCGATTGGGGACGCAGGATCTGACCTGCCCTGCGATCCCAGCAACTAAGTACCGCCAAATGAACTCGCAAACCCGGCCACGGTAATTGAATAAACTTCCACGTCGGACGAAATAGAACTTCGTCAATCAATTCTTCCGATTTAGAGAGAGAGAGAAAAAAGGTAATTTTTTACGAAAATAAATCCGGTAAAATGAAAAAATTATTAATTTTATTTTGGGAACATATTTGTAATGCATTCCCGATACGCAACAGCTGATTATCTTGAATCATTTCAAAAATTGTTAACAAATTAAACAACTCAAAACAACAGGACACTCAGTTACATATAATTATAAAAAAATATAACTCAGTACTCACTGCAGTTAGTGACAGAGCGCATTTTCTTGTCGACGAAAACGCGAAGTCACGGACGGACAGACAGACGGACGGACGTACAGACGGACGGACATGGCGAGCACAATAGTGCATTTTTTCCATAAATGAGAAAAGGGGCTAAAAATAAATAAAAAATTCAAATATCAGTCCCACATACAATATTATACAGCATTTCCTCACAAACAGCCAGCACGCATGCAAGCCATGCGGCCTAACCCCGGATCTCTCAGACACTGGTCGTAAGTTTCCACTTAGGCCGAATTTAGCGGCAAATTCCAAGCAGGGCGCAACCTTGCGTCCATCGCAGAGACGTGCCAAAAACCTGCGCTAAATAGCGGTAACGTCGGAGGCTAAGAACAAGTACGAAGTGCCATTTATTTACGTCTATTGACATAAATGTCAGCGGAGACGCAGTTATTTAGAGTAGGACATAACGTGTACCTATAAAAAATCAGTCCAAATATAACACTCGGCACGACCCAGGAATGGTACTGTTCCCTGCAGTGAAGAATGCAGAACGAAATTCTGATCTACGGATATTTTACCAAACATTTGAGTATCTCAATTCGTGCAAAATCCTCGGAAATTGTTACGAACATTCCGTAATGAACCCACGGAATTAGGGGTTGGCTTTCAACATATATACAAAATATAGAGATATATAGTGTGACACCACCATCTCACATTGGCACGATTAATAGAGAAAATGCTCATAACGAGAATGATATTAAAATATGAAGGGGGTTTTCAACCATTCAACGGTATAAGAAGTATTAGATGGTGAAAGAAATATAAATGTTCAAATTCAGATAAAAATTTGCAAACTCGAAATTCTTTTGCTTAATGAATGCAAATAAATTTACCATACACTATAA